TTTTTTTTTTCGGCAAGACATGGTTGAAGATAAGGACGGTTCTCGCCTCTCTGTCGATATATAAAAGTAACATTTTTATTTTGATATATAACTTTAAAAATATTTTGTAAAGATAATAATGAAAATATTTTTTTAAGATATATATATATATATATATATATATATTTAATTTTAGTAAAATTTGAAATAATTTTTTAGAATAATAATTAAATACGTCAATTAAGAGATATATGATTAGAGTGTAACATGTTTAAAATTTTTAAGGGAAAAATGTTTATAAGAAGGAAGGATAGTGTGATATTTACATCTATGAGGGGATGTTAGTGTACATGATATTTTGGTGATAATTCTTTTTGTAAGAGAGGTTAACAAAACTTTAACGAAAAATTTAAAAAATGGGTGAGGTATTATACATTAAAATTTGTGAAAGGAAGGAACAATAATTTTTTAACATAATAAAGGAGGATAGTATAATACTTGTATCTCTCAAGAGAGTATGTCAACCCTGACTAATGAGTGTCCTTGCAGCTAAGTTAGCCTTGCAACTAATTGATCATAATTTTAGTTTCTTCCATTAAAAAAATTCAAGCATTCAAAAATTTGATGTAGAAATTACATTTTGAACACTCATTCAAGGAACCTAATTTTTCTGTTGATTGTCTTTCCATATTTGGTTTTTTTGTCAATCAGATTTTATTTTGTTGAATTCGTATTCTTTCTTAATGATAACCACTACAAGAAATTCATTAAATAGAGACTGATATAGAGACCAAATTTATATAGTCACTTTAGCAACTTATTTAAATACTATTTTAGAGATTGATTATAGTTGGTCCCTAATTCAATCTCTATTGTTATTAATATTTTTAATGTAATTAGAGACCAAACTTTTAGTAGTTAATAGTTTAAAAAATATTATTTATTTAATTAGATACAACTTTTTTAGTCTCTAATTAAAATATAATTTGAGACAAAATTTTTGGTCACTATTAAAATACTTTAGAAACCAATATTTTAGTCTTAAGATGCACTAAAATTAGAGACTAAATTTTCTAGTTTCTAATTTAAATATTACTAGAGATTGATTTTTTGGTCACTATTAACTCAATTTAGATACCATTTTTTAGTATCTAATTGTTCTATATTAGAAACTAATGTATTAGTCTCTAATAAAAATATAACAAGAAACTAATATTTCAATCATTGTTAAATTATTTTAGACACAAAAATATTTGATCTCTAATTAAAATACACTAGTAAATAATAATTAATTTTTTATTCACTATTAGCTCATTTTAGATTTTCTTTAGTATCTAATACAGAAATATAATATACAACTAATTTTTCACTCATTGTTAATTTATTTTAGATAAATTAGACTCTAATTAAAATACACTAAAAATTGATATATTTTTTTGTCATTGTTAACTCATTTTAGAAACTGTTTTTTTTAAGTATATAATTAAAATTAATAAAATTAAAATATTAATATTATTTATATAATATTTTGTTTTATAACTATCAAAGCCTAATCTTTAAATTTATATTTTATCTAACTTATCAAAACTCAAAATTTTCTAAAGTGTATGGCATGAATATATATTGATACCATTATTATCTGATTAATTATATACCAAAAAAACAAATTAAGAACCTAAAGCATCAAAGATCTAGCCGTGTAAGAGATGGGCTTCAAGGGCTACTGAATAATTTAATAATAATGAACAAAGGTAAACCTTTTGAAAAAAAATAAAAAAATGAAGCAAGACATTTTCGTTTTGAGACGAAGAGCCTCCACGAGAAACGAAACTACGCGTCGAATATAGGAGCAAATATAGGAGCATCCGCGATTTCTTCTTGTCCACGTGTGGAGTGTTCATCTTTAAACCCTCACCCTCACCTTTACCTTCTAATTTCGACTCTCATGTTTAGGTCGCTGAGGGTGTTTGAGCTTGTGGAATTTGTGGTGGAGGTAGAGGATGATGAGGAGGTCAATTGGATTTCGTGTTTTCCCGAGACCCAAACCAATATGGAGTCTCTTGTGTTCGATTGCGTTGAGTGTCCTATTAATTTCGAGGCTTTGGAGGCTTTGGTGGCTAGGTCACCTTCCTTGAAGAAGCTTCGTTTGAACCGATGTGTCTTCATGGCGCAGCTTTACTGGTTAATGGTTCAGGCTCCGTAGCTTACTCACCTTGGAACCGACTCATTCAGTGCTACGGAGGGTGCGCTGGTTTCTGATCAAGAGCTGGATTATGCTGCCGCATTTGAGCTTTACTGATTAATGATTATATTATGCCATTGTGTGTTTTGATTGTATTCTTGTGGATTTGAATTTTGATTTGGGGCAGATTGGTGTTTGGATGTTGTTCTTGTACAGGTGCTTGATTCGATATGCGATGAAGGGCTTCAGGCAGTGGCTGTGGCTTGCAAGGACTTTATAAAGAGATTAACATAAGTGAGATTCAATTAGTTCTTTATGTATACAAAGTCGATTTTTGAAGTGTTAGCAAATATCAAAATACGGTGTCATGTTTTAATCAGGAAAAAATTGACTTGAGAAACGAAAATAAAAATATTTTTTGTCTCTATACATGTGTGTTTGATGTCAATACTGAATATATAATATTTTCTCTTATTTTGGTTGAAGGATGTGATTTTTTAAAATACTTTCACAGAGATATGGTTTTTGCAGTTATTAATGGACTTAATGGAACCAAAACAATTCTGGCTTTTTCCTTACTGTATCTCCTGATTCGATACAATTAGTTGCTGAACATGCAGCCAAGAATAACAAGGTTTGATATCAATAGAACTTGGCATTCCCATTTTACTAGCAGTTTTGGAGATCAAGTATTTTATTCCTGTATGCAGTTCTTCATGATGAACCTTTCTGCTCCCTTTATTTGTGAGTTCTTCAAGGATGAACAGGAGAAATTTTTGCCGTAAGGATCCTTTTCTGTTAAATTCAAATAAGGAAAAATTTACATGTTGATCTTACCGATATCCATTCCGGGATTCAGACATATGGACTACATTTTTGGAAATGAGATTGAAGCAAGAACATTTTCTAAAGTTCATGGCTGGGAGGGAATCCTTGCATAACAGATCTGTAGGGTCGTAGTTTTGGTTTCAAGTTTTAATTTGTTATCTATTTTGACTCTTTTCCTATTGACTAGATTGATAATGTCGAGGAAATAGCTTTAAAGATTTCCTAGTGGCCAAAGGCATCAGGAACACACAAAAGAATTACCGTTATCACACAAGGTGCAGATCCTATTTGTCTTGCTAAGGATGGGAAAGTTAAGTTGTATCCTGTGATACTATTACCTAAAGAAAAATTAGTTGACACAAATGGAGCAGATATAATACAACCTATTGCTTTTAGTATTTAAATATTAAACCAAGTTATATGTGCAATTGAGTTTATGGGAATTTGGTGTGCTCATAAAATACGTGCAAGTTATAAAATTTAGAATTTGATAAAATTAATAGAGAATTCACACATATAATTCTTTTGTAATCTAAATGCTAATAAGCTTTCATGTCTTTGGTTAAATATATATTTAATCTCTCATAATTATGTCCTTACCTTGAAGAAAGGTACCTCTCAACCTTTGGATATATATATATATATATATATATATAAAAGAGATGATAAAATAGGAATGAAACACTATAAGGGACTTTCAATTCATTTCATCAAGATTCAGTTCTGTACTCATTCCAATTTTGTATAGCATGTTTTTGTTTTGATTAATTATATATTTGTTTATTTTGTACTTTTTTGTGTAGATGACTATTTTAGAAGAAACAAAAGAATGTGATGAACAAGAAAAGTTCCAGGCACAAGATAAAGGACATGTTACATTCATGATATATGTTAAGTTTTTTATTCACTCATTTTTTTCACAGGTGTTTTTTTTTTCTTGAGACAGTTTTAAGAACTTCATGCACTTCGTTGTTGAAAATGTTCCAAATTTTTGTGTTTTTCTTAAGTTGTTCTTTTTTTGGGGAGAAAGAAAGACATCTGGTTGATTGATGTTCACTGGAAGTGTTAAAGACAGTTTGTTGCTATATTAAAACTAATTATTGTCAAACGAAATTTTATAGAAAGTGATTGTTTGAGTATTATAAATACAGCTAGCGAGGATTGTATGTTTGGAGGATATTATGTGCAATTTTAAAAAATTAGAAAATTTAATTTCTTAATTTTCATATTAGTATATAGCATATGTTGATTCTTTTGCATAATAGTTTAACATAGAATAAATATGTGAAGTAAATAAATAATTAATGCTATACTCAAATAATTATTATGTTTTAGCAGAAAAATAATTGAAGTTAGGTATGTGGTGAATTTGAATAAAGAAGATAATAAATATGAAAGAAAATGGCATAAATAAGAAAGATGAATAAGGAAAAAATTTAGTGACTACTTTTTTATATATTATATTAGTCACTTTGAGTCATTGAAAAATGGGTCACTAATTTAGTTATTTTAAAATTTGGTGACTAAAATGGTTACTTTAGAATCAGTTATTATAACAGTCACTAAATTGATTATTACAATAGGTTACTAAATTAGTTATTACCAAAATTGGTATCTAAATTGGTTACTGTAATATTGGTAATTAAAACAGTTACTATAAGATTGGTCAATGAGATGGTCACTATAAATTTTTTTATCAAGATTTATTCTTTTTTTTTTTTAAAAAAAAACTCAAATCCTTCCTTCATTGTTTCTATTTTTTGTCAAGATTTAAATCTCGAATCTATGTATCGGAGAGTTGGGTCACGCATGTCGAGATGAAAACATGTTTATTTGCAGGTGTCCATGATAGAGACACGTCAATTTTGTAGGTATTCGTAACGCAGACGTGTCCGATTTGTATGGACATGATTTGTCGAAGCGTCCAAGGCACTCATCCGGTGTCTGCTCCAAAAGAGTGTCGTACTTGGGGATACAACAGTCTCAGACCAGACCGTACATATTTAGTAATACTATGTTAGTGTTTTAAAAAAAATATACTTAAAATAAATATTATTTATATACTTTAAAATTATCACTAAGACCAAAATTATTTATTTTATATCTTGGAGGAATAAAAATAAATAAAAAAATATTTTATGTAGAACAAAATCATAAGTAACTTATTTTAGCATAACAAATATTATTTTACTAGGATTAAAAAGTTAAAAAAACATTTATAAATTTTAAAAGAATAAAAAATAAAGAAAAAAATTTCATGGGATTCAAAATTCAAACTTACTTATTTTATGTAGATTAAAAAATATTTAAGCCTGTGCAAAAATACAATATACATTCAATTTTCCATAAATTTTGGATAAAAAATTATTTTTTAATCTTCATAAATATATTATATTTTTTCCTTTCCATTTATATATTCTACGACCTAAATTCAATTTT